CCGATGGGCTGCCAAATTCTAACTATAGGAGCAGCAGGCTGGGCACCTGTGGGGCTCATCTTTCACTGTTTGCCTCCACACTGCCTGAAGCAGCAGAAAGGAGACCACCAAAAGCTTTCTCTTGTCCCCTCTGTGTCCTTCCAAGTTATTAATACATCCCAGCTATGCATCCCACTGCACCAGTACACCTCCCTGATAACTCCTGGTGATAGCAAGCTGGAAGCAAAGGGTTATGTGAACAACAAAAACTAAATTCTGAAATTAATTACAGGCTTTTTCCTCCAGTTTCAGCAGAGCTTGGAAGCTATTTGGCCAATGTTCTTCTGACCAGTCCCTTGGATACAGCCACATGCCCATTATCAGAAGAAAATCATGTACCCAGGAGTAACACAGGGCTCACACTTTGGTCAGGGGCACTCTGGAATGTTTCAAAGATACTCATCATGATCACACTTTGTACCTGTAGCTACCCTGCCCAATACAAACACGGAGCCCACAAACAGGAATCCCTCTGCCCTCTCCCTCTACAGCAGAGGGGTCGTGTGCACCATGGACTTGGGGACCCCTGGCCAGCTCTTCCTTCTTGGATTTGGTTTCTTTCCACTTATTGTCCCTAAAGGGTTTCCTTTTACACTTCTGTACTTGTTTTATCTTAAATGCTAATGGAAAATCCAGAGAGATCAGATCAGAAATTGAACTCTTGGCATTTAATCACTTCCCAGATGCTGGTGTGGGCTGTACCATTTGATACAACTCCTTCTGTCATCTGGGCATTGGCAACACCAAACCTATTGCCAGCCCAGCCCAGAGACAGACCCCTCACACACTTCCCCAGAAGTCTGCTGCCTTGCTTAAGTCTGGAATGCACAAAAGAAAAGGGACACATATTGGTTTAAGTGCAACACCAAAAGTGCTTGCGAAATACAGGGGCAGGAGAAAAAAGGAGCTTGTGGGACTCAGCAGCCCCTCTAGTTTTTGCCCCCAGAAAAGGGCTTAGCACAACAGTTATATCTTTCAAGAGATTCAGGACGTGTCTTTAAAAAGTGAAAAGTAAGAACATCTTATCTAGGAAGCAACGGAACAGCGGAAACACTGCAGAAGAGTTATGGGCTATGTCCTGTCCTGGCTCCAATTCCTCAAAACAGCTGAGCAGCTTCCCCAAAGCAATATTGGCTAGCACAGACCCTGGCGTGGAAAACTTCAGCCTCAAAGGGCAAAAGAGGTGAAAGTTCGAATTTAATACATGGAACTGAGCATTTATATAACTGTGCAGTCTTAATGTCACCATTAATTCCAATAATGTTATTAATCCCCAAGAGAGTGAAGGGGAGGGTAGTAAGTTGTGAAGATAAGACAAGGCACAAGAGATTTTATTTAAAAAAATAAGGAGGGGGTGTTTAAATCCTTGACTGCTATAGCTGATTCTATGGCACAGTTACAGCTTTCCCATTAATGTCATTGTCATGGAGGAAGACACTTACATGGCCAGAAAATTTTACCCACTAATTTCTTAGTGAAGCTCATAAACATATCCAAGACTAACCAGCAAATCTTCACCTCTAAAATAATTTAGCAATGGTGAATCCAACAACTCACAAAGTATTTTTTATTTTAACAAAAAAGCATTTCCTCTGCTGCTGAAAATACATCTCTTACTGCAAGGCTGGCATCAGGCTGGTGGTTTAAATTACAACAGGAGAGACCTCCAGGGGCATACATACCTGTACTGCAAGCAAATATTTAGACAGGATATATAAGATATGGGACTCCTGAGCTCACAAGTTCTCCCAGTGCCTGCAAACCAAATACACACAGGAGGATCTGATGCTGTCACTTTATGCACTGGGAGCTGAAATGACTCCTGGTCAGCCCTTTGGGGGTGGATAATCAGCAGATTGTTCCATGCTCCTGATTAAAGAGCAGATAATCCATTTCTGAACGGCTTTGGTGTCAGATCAGAGCAATTCTGGCAACAGTTCCAACAGCACAGAGTGCTCCAGCAACAGCTGAAGCAAACACTCCAGAAGCCACAGGGCATCCCAGCCTCCATCCAAAGGATGTGCCGCCACTTGGACTGTCCTTCTGCAGCAGCAACTGCTGCAAAGGTCAGGCACATAACGGAGGCAGGGCAGGTTTGCCTCTCCTCCCAGACCTGAATGTCAAGACTGGCAGATCAGCAGCTAGAGAACCCACAACAAAGATTTCCAAAGGGCTGGAGGACAGGGTTTGCTGTCTGGGCTGCACCCTGGAGTGGCCGATGGCAGCCTGGGGATGTGTCACCCCACAAGGGAAGTGTCCACTCCACTTGAAGTGAATTTGGTCTCTAATAACTCACCCTGCCTACTCAGTCACTCTTCACAGCTGTAGCACAGAGGATTTCATGTTAAACTAAGGAAGGTGTACAGCTCATTTTTGCCAGTTTTATTTCCATTTGAATGGATTTCCCTACAAGTGATACAGAAGCCCTGAAGAGCTGCAAATAGTAAAATCAGAGCTTGGATCCATGCAGAAGAGCAGCTCTGGAAGGGATGGTGTCCTTTTCCAGTCTCATCCCTAAGGATCAGCACAAATATACAGGTCTTGATTGCCTCTCCTCCCTGTAGTTTGGATACAATAGATCAAAAATTGCTAGGCAAGAGGAACTCAAATGTGCAAGACACAACTGACCACAGCTGATGTGATGACCAAGCACCAAGACCAAAGGAAGGAAAAGCCATCCAACAAGCAGCCAAACATTCAACAGCAGGCTCTTAAAGAAAACACAGCAGTCTAGGGCATGGAACTCCAACACTTTTACAGAAGAGCCTGAGGACCTCAGTGAGGAGACTCCTCAACCTGCTCCAGCAACCAGGATGAAGGTGTGCCTTCAGCCTCCAGGTGACGGGGCTGGAAAGAGAGAGGCAGTCATGATTAAAAGCCTCCCAAGAGGTAAATGATGGAGGGTGGTAATCAGTTCATCTCTACTTCCACCCCAGGTAAGATTAAAAAAATCCCTAAATCAGCTTTGTCTGCAGCAAATGAAGATTTAGTTCTGATATTAGCACTCAAAGACAGAGTCATTAGGCTTTGGGACAGGCTGAGGAGGTTGCCAATTCTCCTTCATTAGTTTCAGATGAGGCAGAGACACACCCTTGAGGGACATGCCAGGCACACTAAACCCAGCTTTCAGGAACAGCTGAACACCATCCCCTTCCAGACTTGCCAGTCAAGGACTTCCCAGGCTAAAGTGAGAACGAGACCAGCACAGAATATGCTCTGAGTGGCTGACAGGAGAACCACAGAGCACAGACAGAAAAGCTTGTGCAGGCTCCCTTCCAAAGCTCAACTATTTTGAAGCCTTGTGCTCTGACAATCATCCATCTCAGCTTGGCTTAATGTCCCCCTGCAGCCATCCCTCCCCCCACAGAGGGGCAGATGCACCTCTCAGGATGTCTGGTCCAGTCAGGGATGCTAATGCAGTGACCTGTGCATGCTCTTTGTTCCCAATGCAGCATTTCAAAAAGCCTCGTCGTTCATTTAAGGTGAAGCAGATGCTGCTCCTCTGGTCTCTTTGAACAGGCTTATCTATGGGCTGGATTTCATTAAGTGTCTTGTTCTGCATTTAATAAGCTTGCAAGTCTAGACACTTTGGTTCTCCCTCTATCACCCCTTTGGTGTACCAGCAGGTAGAGACAACAGAGGTTAAGAGGGAAATATTTAGCCAGCAGATTTAGATGCTATCAAGATGATTGCATAATTCTACTTTGACTCACTGCAATTTCATACCCAGGGATTTTTTTCTCTCACCCTAGTGCCAACCCCTTTTGAAAGCAAGAGGCTGCTACCTGCTATAGTAGTGCAGAGGAGGTTGCTATGAGGTTCAAGGCACAGACTTTGGGATATTCATAGAAAACTCACATTGAAGCAATGACCAAACAAGGGAACAAATGTCCAGCGGAGCTGCATAGGGGAAATGTCCTTTACCACAGAGTGTGATGGTGATGTAGAAGCAGAACAATGTGACCAACCCAGTCCACTTGAGTTGTCAGATACTTCCATATGCAGCTGGCTGTCACCTCACACCCCCAGCCAACAAGGACAACCCAAGCAGCAGCTTGACATCCTGCTCCTCCTCCCTAGATGCCCAAGCAATGGGGGCTGCACTGTAGGAGGGGGCTCCTTTGTAGGAGCACTGAGGCACCTACCAAGCCCCACAGGAACAAACCAAGAGCTCAGAGGCAAACCAAGAAATGCCCTGGGACCTCAGCCAGGTGCTGTGCCCAGTGTCCAGGCATTGACTTTGGCTGTTTGCAGAGGTGCTCTCAAAGGAAAAGCACCTGGCTACAAGGTGGGCAGTGCTGGCTGTGCTACCTCCAAAGGGAGCTTCTTCCTGCAGCTCCCATGAGCCAGGCATGCCTATGGAGAGCCAGTCTGACAGGACACATGTGAACCCAAGGGCAATACCAAGACCAGTCATTTGCTTATCTGTCAGCAGTTAGCATCACTGCAGCGATGGGAACTCAGCCGAGACTTGTTCATTATGGTTCTGACCCTGCATCACACTTGAACCCTCGGCCTCCACACAAAACCACTGTGTTTATCTGCTGCTCTGCTTAGCCCCAAAGGCTAAAAGTGAGATGGATACAAATCATGTGGGCTCACAACATGCTGGGAAAGAGCAGCATTGTTGTGGATCGGGGCTGCAAGACATGCACGTTACAATTACGCGCGCTCGGGGATGTACCAACAAAACCAACTGCAATCTTACATTAGAGCAAAATGGCTTTGCAAAAGATTAATCAGAAAGAAAGATCTCTCTCTTTGGGAAACAAGCAGCCATAATCAGCAAATACTTCTCTCTCACAGGATTGCAAAACAAGGCATGCTCTGCCCTCTGAGCCGAGTCATGAACTTTCCCAGCAAAGGGGGAGACAGAGCAGAAGAACTGCACAGAAACAACAGGATGGAGATTTTTCACATTTTTATCCCAAGGAGAGCAAGTTCAAGGTCTCTGCACTTACCATCAAACTTCTTGTACCGGGAACTAAACATGTTCTGTAGGTGATTGCTAAGCTCTACAACAGCGTTTCTGAAGTCGTGTTTACTCTGCTGACTGTACTTCTCCTCCATTTCTTGGGAGCAGCATGTGTAGCCTTGTGAGCAGACTTTCAAGTGGTCACCTGAAAAGCAGAGAAGAAAATATCCCAAGTTAAAAGGACTCTCTGTGCCAGAGAAAAGAGGTCTCATGAGGCAGGGTGTGTGAAGATTTGCAGCACCATTTATTTCATAGGAGATTCCCCCGCTGCGAGCATGGGGCCAAGCACATCAAAACCTGATTACTTAGAGAAACTTTATAGCAACACTTGTAAAAACCTTGCTTTTCTGAGAGAACATTAAAAAGTGTCCTCTTACTTATTCAGCTAATAAACAGAATAAAGAAATATTCATTCTGTACAGTATAATTTGAAGAATCAGAAAATTGACCTGTATATGGATATATTGTATGTGGTAACTTGCATGAAGTTTTTGCTGAGTATTTTAAATACTTCCAGTTCATTAGTTAACATACAACATCAGTGGCAATGGCCCTTTTTGTCCAGACAAGTGCCTTTTTCTTCACCCCTCCCAGTCCAATTATCAGAGGAGAAGCAGTCTCTCTCAGAAGCACAGTTGTCACTGACACTAAATTATACTTGCTTTATGCAATGGCTCATGGAAACACTTCATATTTCCTGGCTCCTAATTCTGCAGTTTTCTGTCATCATCCTGGAGGAAATAGGGGGTTTGTTTTTGGAGACTTCAAACAGATTTTTTTTCCTTAAGATAATTCTTTCCTAAGAGTCATCTGGTCATCACTCATCTGGCTGACTTGGTCAGAGGGATCCTCACCAAGTGTTTCAGTATCTGCAACAGCTCCATTTCAAAATCTCTCAGACAATCTGGACATTGGATCTGGACCCATATAATTTGCTTTTTGATGCCTTGCAGCAGTGTGGGATGAAGCTATCCCCTTCCAGCACCACCCATAAAATCCCATAATCAAGTTTTGTGGGCCAAGATAAACCCTTGGCACAGCAGTCCTCAGCTCCAGCCCTCTGACAGGCCCCACAACACTGCACCAACACAAAGCAGGTGGGCTGATGCTGAAATGGTTCAAACTCGGGCAAATTGTGCAAATCTTTGTCAACACAGAAGATATGATCAAAACAAGCAGTCACAATGAGAAACTCATGTTTCCAAGTAAGATGGTATTTTAAAAGCCACAGCTAACATGTAAGCTGCTGCCTTCTCTCCAATTTCACACCCTGCTGCCAGACCTTATCCTTCATTCTGAGCAAACAGATGGAGAAGGGAAAGCTCTTCCCTGCCTGCTCCCACCCTGGGAGTCACCAAGGACCTCCAACCACGGTGGAGGTTCAGAGACTCCTGTCAGAGCTGCAAAGGACTTGTCAGCCCCCATGCAGAAAATAACATCTTCTGACAGGCAGTGCACCACACATTTACGGAAGAGCCATCCATCCTACCTGCCAGCACATCAAAACTGGGTTTAGAGAAACAAAAGCAGGTTTAGGACAGTTCAGAGCCTGCCCATGGTTAACACAACAGGCTGATGCTCTGCCTGCCTTGTGCAAGATTTCTCAACAATGCCTTTTGCCCAGGTAGTGAACTTTTGTGCATGACTTCCCAGCAAGAAAGGTCAGTGTCTCTCCTTACAGACGCTTCAGAGCCATCTTAAAAAGCGACACAAATATTTTTATCTCTCTCTATATATATATAGTTCCGAAGAACCTCTCTTCCTAAAATCTATTTCCCTGTTGCACTACAGGGTTTGTTTGCTTTCTGTGGCATTTCAGGGAGACCTTGACCAGCAGATAATTCTGACACAGCTAATTTATTGCACAAGACCATCCACTGCTCTTCAATTACGGAAAGCTCAAAGTCTGCTACGGGAAGCAGTGCTGCTCAAGCACAGCTTTTGGAAAACACAGGAAAATGTCACTGACTCCTTACAGATCTATCTTTTTCCCCAGACTACTCTTTCTATCTCAGAGGAGTACCTCCAGCAGCTCCAAGAGAGGCATCTCCAGGTAGCTTCATAAGTAATTTTAAACAGAGGAAGGGGTGCACCCAGATTTTCAAATCCTGCCCACTAAATCCATTCTAGAACATGCCTGGGAACTCCTCTCTGAGACCACCTTACCAGCAAGCATCAAAACAAGAAAGTGCCCAAGCACCACTGCTTTATTTCACCTTGAATCTCTGCTCCAATTCCAATACAGGACTAAGGACTCTGACACAACATTAAACCATGAATACCAGCAAAGCTAATTCAGACCTACTGATAGTGGGATTTCTTTCCCTACTCACACTTCACGGACACTTCTGAAGCTGTCCACAGATGCCCTCTGATTCCTAACACAGTGGTTTTAACAACTTCTCCAATTTATTTATTATAAAAAAAGGCCCAGTATTTCACAAATACAGATATTCATTTCAAATCTATTAACATTATTGAAGTACAGTTACCATCTAACCTAACGTTACAAAGCAAAATCATTTCCTCTAATCCCCTTTCTCCCAGATTTGACTGTGTCTCCCCAGGACACACGTGCAAAGCCAAGCAAGAGCACTACTGACAGTAAATCAAGCTAGCACAGATCCCATTTGGTTGATCATTAAGAAATAATGCTCCAAAATGTAACTCAGACATTCAAAAATGAATGACCAAGCAATCTAATTATGGAAGATATTTCTCAGTCATGTCAGCACTATGTGGTCTTGGCTCATGATCAAGAATTAGCTCTGTCTGGAGCTGAAGAGCTCTGGCTACTCAGTGCTAATCATAGGAGGATGCACTCTGCTACCCAGCATTTAAAAACAGAAAGTTTAGGTCTGTGGGCTGCTTTTCTTGCAGTTTTCTTATGCCACAGCGGGAGATGCCACTGGAAAGTCACTGGGGGCCCCAGTTTTCCCACACAGAGGTTTGTCCTTAGCACAACCACATCCCTAAACAACACATCCAAACAACACTGGCACACAGTGTGTGAGAAATCTCATGTCTGGCGTTCTAAATCTGCTAGCAGAGCTGATCCATTCAGGATCCATCCACGGGACTCATCCCATGCAGACAGACCCTGATACAAGACATCACCAAACAGCTTTCAAACACCACAGTGCTACAACCAGGGGAATGGAGGGGATGAAGGCTGCAGAGCTCCATGTGAGCATGGACCAGCTATGAACACATAAACGCCAACCTGGAGCCAAGATCAAAGCCAAAACCCTTTGTCAATCTGACAGTGAACTCCTCTAAGGAAAATGAGTGACAAATATGCGTATTTAGGCATGCTTAGCAGAGATCTCATGTTTATGTATATTATGTAGAGAACGCCCATGGTGTGCACTCACTGTCAAGGACACATTCAGCAATAATTATTTCCCAAGTTAAAATTCATCAAATAATGCCCATACAAAGCAACTCTTCATCTACTGTTGAGTGTGAAAACCTCGGCAGCTTTTGTAATTAATCACCATGTGAGCACAGCAAAAACATAACTCTGCCACAGGCTCCTTTCAAGTTAGGTTTTTTATTGAATTGTTTGGCAGGGTGTGCAATCATCACATCGGGGGCTGCGTGGCAAAAAGAGCTCAAGTAGCAGAGACTGACTCCAAATATCTACTGCATATGCACACCATCACCACAGCTTGACATGGATTTGCAGCAGATCTTTCTCATGGCCTATTGCAGCAAGACTTTCCCTTATTTTCCTTATGATACATATGAGCACACAGAGAGAAATGAGGAATCAAAAATTATGGAAGATACTTGCTCCTTGGCTGGTTAACAGCGCACCTCTGGGTAACAGAGGTGGTTGTTTAAAGACAAATGTGATGGTACATGACATTACCATCTGCACATCCAAGCAAATGCACTCAGAAATGTAATCTTGCAAACTTATGATATAAGCCATTACAGAAACACTGCATTTAGCAGACTCCAGGCACACAGAATTTCTTCCAAATCAAGTAACTATTTACAATGTGTTGAAAAACAAGTTTTCATCAAATGAGTAAGTGAGCAGTGCAAACTCAGGGGCTACATGATATTGAAAAGCAGCTCTCTTTACCAAACAATTTTCCAAGACCTTTTCGAAATGCTGTTTCTGGGTGTCTAGCATGCCTTCCCAGACTGCTTCTCCTCACTTCAACCAAATTTGTACTTAAGCTAACTGCAAAACTAGCTAAAGCTTCAGGAGCAGTTTACTGGGAGGTGAGGAGTGGATATTTCTTTAAAAGGCTCCCCACACAGCCCAGCCCCTCACTGGAGCTCAGCAAACACACCAGGAGTGGTTTATGGTCTGAGACATTACTGCTGGACTTTGCTCCCATGTGAGAAATCAGGCTGGGGTAAGGTTGGGTGGTGGAGGAGCAGGAGGCAAACACTGCTGAGGAGCTGAGAGCTGGGCCAGCACTTCACCCTAGTGCTCTGCCCCTCCCCTCCAGCACACATGGGCCTGTGTCATCTTTAAAGGAGTTTTATGACTTCCTCTGAACCAACTACCAAAGGCATCCCAGACTGTAATGCCGGACCCTAATCCAATTTCACACTAGACTTGCCTTCTAATTATCACAGAATATTAGGCCTCCACCCATCAGATATAATTGACATGCTACCGAGGCTTTACAAAACCCCCAACAAAGATGACAAGAAACACTAGCATCACCCCTGAGCACAGCTCCACTGCTCCAGCCCCACATTAGCAAGGGGCAAGAAGAAGAAAGAAAAGCATGAGCTTGTGATTGACTCTGGCAGAGTCATCGAGACAGACACAGCTACTGAACTGTCCACTCAATCCAATCACCTTCAACTTACCCAAAATACCAAAAATGCCCAGCTTTCCTGGCTACAAAATGATCTGGGGATGCTCAGCACCTCTGGGAATAGACCATGAGCTCCTGTCCATGTTCACTGGTGCTGCCATAATCCCTGCAGGATACCAGCACAGCCCCAGCATAATCACTGCTCACACTGTTGTTAGATACCTGCTAATGAAGAGCACCATCAAAATACAGTCTTGGCATTTAAATATTTCCAAGTGAAATTACACTCAGCTGTGTGTTTTTCCTTGGTGCTGTGCAGCATTCACATTCTCTGGAAAAATCTCTTTGCCCAGGATTTTTCTCCTGGGAAGCTGAGAAGCCTCAGAGAAAAGGAAAACAATTATTATCTCATTTGCTTCTCCTGTTTTGCTCATGTGGAATGTGTTTAGAGATTGTTTACCCACAGGTGATTGTTTCATTGGATTCTGGTGTGAGTTGTTTTGATTCTTTAGCCAATTAGGGCCAAGCTGTGTTGAGAATCTGAAAAGAGTAACAAATTTCCATTATTATCTTTTTAGCATTGAGGAAGTATTCTGTATTCTTTAGTATAGTATAGTATAGTGTTCTTTAATATAATATAGTATCATAAAATAAAAAATTAGCCTTGTGAGAACATGGAGTCAGATGCATCATTCCTGCCTTCATTGGGACTCCAGCAAATACAATAGAGCAGAGCTTGGGCTCATTTTGCTCCCTCCCTGAGTGGGACCCCTGGGCTCCGTGGGTGCTGTGGTGTGGGTGGCTGGTGGCACGCAGGGCACCAGGAGGAAGGAGATAAGGGGTTGGTGCTCTATTCCAAAGTCCAGGCTGCCTGTGCTGTAGGAAAGAGATCCCTGCCATTGGGAGCTGTGTGGGACAAGGAACTCACATGGCTTTTGCTGTCAAAGCAAGGGGAGTAAAAGCAGTCCTCCTGTCCATGCCATTTTAGACTTTTGGGTGGCCCTGGCTGGTCCTGGCTCTCTGCTGAGCCCCTGCACCCAGCTTACTCTTCTCCCTGCCCAAAACTACTCAAGGCAGGGTGAAGGAGCGTGTCCTTACAAGTGGAAAACATCGCTCTGCTGCTTCCCAGATATTTGTGTATTTATTCATACACTGCCCTTTAATATAGTTGTTTGCAGTTAGTCTTGTGTTTTTGTTTGGGTTTGTTTGTTTCTTTCTTGTTTTCTTTTTCCCCCTTCTCTTCTGTGTAAAGCTGGGCTCAGAATTGCAGCAGGTTCCGCAGTGCCTATTTTTGGATCCTGCAATAGGGAATTAATCTCTCTGGAAGTTAATTAACATGTCTCTTGTGTTCCAATTTATAGATTATGTTATTGTTTGTATAAAGCCTGGGATATTTTTTTTAATTTTATTTTAAGTCGAAAACAGGAAATTGTGGCTGAATTCCACGAGCTTTGTTTCTTATTTGAGGAATTAAAAACATCTTTAGGTTTTGGGGTTTTTCAAAAAAACTTTTGCTTGGGTCACAGCTGCCAGTTCGCATGCCTTTAGTGCTCTTACTGCTGAGGAACTCATGGAAATGGTAGCTCTGCTTTGTGTCCTGGTTTGGCTTGTGCAAGCAGGGAAGCTTCACTTCTGTTGAGCCCCGAATAGCTGATAACATTGGAAAGGGGATGGATGGATGGATGGATGGATGGATGGATGGATGGATGGATGGATGGATGGATGTTCAGCCACACAGCCACAGTCCCAGTGCCTTGGGACAGTGCTGCTTGCCTTGAAATGTGCCACCAGCAGCTCTTGGCTGAGGAGATCTGTCTCTCCGAGTGCCTCCACAAAACCATGGATGTCTTACATCCCTCTGAGTTGCTTTTGTAATTTTTAGGGGTATTTTTCCACATAATGGATGATCCTCAGAACCACCAGGGTCATCCTGTGCCAGATCTGGGACTTGCCAGTGGATGACAAGTCTGCTGGCACAAACAGGTGAGCCTGGGTGCATCTCACAAGAGCCTACTGTGTGGCTCTGAAATGTGGTTTTGTGCATGGACACTGGAATCAGCTGTGTTTGAAAAGGAAAAAAAAGTACTGGAAAAGTGGTTGCCAGTGGCATATTCCTGCTTTTTTCCTGCCTGCCCACGTGTAGTGCCACCCGGCACCGGTGTGAACATCCCTGGAGGTGCTTGGTGGAGGGTCTGGGGCATGCAGAGGGAGAGGGGCCAAAAGTAGAGGGAGAAAATGTTTAGAAGGAAAAATATTCCAATTTAAATGGCATTGGTTGTGATGGAATCAGTTTTGGTAAGAGGCTGGGTTGTTTTTTTTTTTTTTTGCAAATAGCCGAAAGCTTTAGGGGAAAAATAAATTCAAACAAGCGGGGTTTTTGGCTTTGTTTTGCCTTCTTGGTGGGGGATTTGAGGAAAAAAAAAGTCTCACAAGGAAAGTGACTGTCTCCCAGCCAGATCTCTTCTGTTTGCTGTTCCTTGCGCCTGAGACTTCAGTAATTCTGCGTATTTGCTGTTCCAAATGGATTCTCTTCTCCACCACCCCTTTTCCCCCCTTTAATTGCATGGCATTATACTTGGTAAGGTTTTTTGGATTATCCCAGTATAATCTGCTGACCAATCTCTGTTGAATTTTGAAGTCTGCTGGCTGTATGCAACTTCTTTTTCCTGTGACTTTTACCCTTAGGAAAAAGTAAGAGTTACTGATTGCAGGTATTGGGCTTTTTACATGTTCTTTGGTAAATGGTAGAGGAGCTCAGTCATCCTGGAGGTGCGTTGATCTATTATCTGTATCCAATCTCCCCACCACAGAAGTGAGAAAGAAAGAACAATAATTTTCAGTATACCTTGTCCCTCATATAACACCACTCACTTAGTGTGTGTAGGCAGGTATGTTATGAGAACTATTTCATGCCTAAAGAATTTAGTGATAATAAAGAGAATTTGCATTTCCTAAGTTCTCTCTCAGAGATACCATGGAGGGTTTTTTGGTTTTGTTTTTTTTTAATTAAGTAATTAAGTAACAACTCTTGGTTTGCATTGAAGGTTTCTGTCTTAGCTAGAGCCAGGAAGAATCCTCCAGTTAGCCAGAGTTATTTCCTTTTCAGATTTGCTTAAATAACAAGTTTAATTATGTAATATTTTAATATTCTTTTTCCCCCCCTCGCCTTATTTGTATATTCAGGTCTTTGTGTGGTTTCTCTCTCTTTTGATGTTTGCAGAAATGTATTATCTTCATCTGTCTGGTTAGTGTTTGGTATGCCACTAATTGACTCAATATCCTGTTTGTTGGAATGAAAGCAGGCTCTATCATGGCATATTTTTCCAGGGTGTAAAACCTTGCAGTATTGGGCCACCCTGTTGGGTAGGAAATTGTTGGCTGTGCTGTGGAAACGGAGCAGTGATGGTATTTTTCCTCAGGTGAGCTGGGTTTTAGCTTCTAATGAACTCTTTAAACCTCACTGAAGGCAAGATCCTGCATTCTCCTTGCTCAGACATCACCTGCAAAGGGCAGAGTCCCCAGCCCAGGTGTGCTGTAGAGTTTTTGGGTTTGGCCCTTGGGGACCACCTGAACCTCTCCCATGGCCCCAGCCTCAATTGGAGAGCTGGGCAGGAGGGGATCCCAGCTGACCAATGATGCTTCTCTGGGCTGCTGTGGAGAGCAGAGACAGATCTTTGTCCTTTGTTTGGAGCTGAAGAGCCGGGTTAGGAGTGTGGGAACAGCTCTCCTGGTCTATCCCTGCCCAGGGGGGATGTTCCAAAATCACTCTGGTTGACCTCAGCAGACAGCATTTACCCAGACTTGGTCCTTCAGGGACTGCCTCTGTCATCAGGTCCAGGATGAGCTTTGCAGTGGTTATTTGGACCTGGGTGGGTGGATGCAAGAGCCCTCTTTGTGTCCTAAGTTGCTCTTTCCAGTAGAAAATTAAGTTTCTTAATGTGCATTTGGCTTAATGTACACAAATGGATATAAATCTCTCTTGTTCTCTGCACTCCCTGACCCTCTTGGCAGTAAATTTGGGAACCCAAAGCTGTCAACAAAGCAAAATGGAAAAATAGAAGCCAGACAGACCTCGGTTGTATACGATATTTTAAGTAACTGTAGGTACGCGCTATGGAAATAATTAGGATTATTTGTTGTGTTGAAGGGAGGTATGTCACTGAGGTATTGTGTGCACTGCCATTCCTGTGCCTGCAAGATGGATTAGCAGCTGAGTTAACAGATGCAGTAAAGCTCAACTGAAAATAGTTCACTGTTGTTAAGCGTAGGTGAAAGGGCTTTGGTTTGGGTATCAAAGAGTGTATTTTGACTGCTTGACAAGTTTGCAAAAAAAAAAAAAAAAATCATTTCACTATTATAAGCTTTCTCTGTGAGTCTGGGGAATTTTTTTGTGCCATTAGAGTAATCAGCAAAAAATTGAAATGCACATTGATTAATAACCTAAGTGGAAGTGCAGGGAAAACAAGTGGCTTTAACATTAATAAGGCAAATAAACCATTGATATAAAACTGTTGCTAATTGGGTGGGATGTTAAATATGGTGCATGCTGGCACATGGTGCTAAACTGTGGTACCTCCATAACCCTACCAGTCAGATTTGGGAGCTGACTACATGGTGAAGACATCTCCTTGCTTAAAAAATCCTGTGTGGTTGGGAAAAGAGGTTCAGGTGGGGATGAAAATCCGTGATGGTGGAATCCAGGACCATGACCTTCTGTGACTCTGAAAGAGATGGAGCCCCGTGCCTGGATGGAGAGTGGTGCTGGCTGTTGACCTTCATGGTGAGGAGCCGTTAGGGAACATGGGGTGTGCTCACTCTTTTGGTGCTTTTCAGGTGTGAGATCCCAGCAGAGTTACTAATGCTCTGAGGAGGGAAGAAAGGAAAGCTGACCCTGGTTACATGAGCCTTTGAACAGGAATGGAAAATAATTCATGTTGGAAAATGGGGTATTATTTTGTGTCCGGTGACAGATGTAGGGAGACTGCTGCACAGAGTGCTCCTCCTGGAAGTGTGTAATTGAATCAAAGATTTGGGATGGTTCTAACACCATGCACTCAGGAGCACCGGGGAAGTACAGCCCCAGATGTGCCAGCCTGGTTTGCCCTGCTCTGATCAGAGGGTGCCAGCAGCTCTGCATC